TCTGGAATGCACGACCAGCGTGCAGACCACCACACCACGAAAGCATGCCAAGAAGGCGGGAAAAATACCTTATTAAGTTACTTTTAGTACTACTACTTATTTACTTCTAGAAGTAACTTATTAAAAGTGGGGTTTAAATTCGACTGTCAAATTAACTGAAACTTCAAATTCTGTCTGTTGCTGGTAAATTAAAAACGTAGTTTAAAGGCATATAAACATTCACTGTCTGGTTAAATCAATTCTTCTTTAGAGATTTCTTTAAAATAATATATCTGTTCCTCTCATTTCTATATTTCGTACGTGAAATAAATGTAGAAAAGTCAGTGCAGAGAGCAAAACGTGAGCTTTTAGCAATATAAATGTGTTTCTCTTTCAGTAATAATATGGTTTTTCTTGCTAAGTCCTTGTATAAACTATAATTGTAGTCACTTTACTGTGTATCGGTATTTTATTTAACAATTATCTTGAAACACTATTTTATTATTTAAAAGAATTTCCGATATCCTTGTTGAAGCCGAACAGAGAATTTAGGTCTTCTTGTCAATAACTGTCTCATGTTAGCAAACAACGTATCTAATGACACCAAATAAATATGAAGATGAAACATTGATAATTGCAGGAAGTATTTTAAAATATTCCGTTAGGATATCAGTAATGTATCCGTGACACAAGCAAAAATTTTGTGCTTGCTGTTTAGGAGAGTTGTATGTAAAAAGTAGTGTAATGTAAAATGTAAGCTCAATGTACAAAATAGTCCTTTTTCAATAATAAAGCTGAGTCTAAACATCTCTTCTCAAACTGAAATTAGAGTATTACATCATCATCCTCGGTCGGTATTCGTAAAGCTAGTGAAAACTAATCTTTTAAATATTTAAGCTTCTTTACCTTAAATTCCAGATAATTTGACAGCACCTTATAAATCCAATTTTATCCCATCACTTGTGACAATGGAATGTATAGCAAAATACAAACATGTTATATAATATTATATAAACATGTTATATTTTATCGTTAAATGCCTTTTTGTTCTAGAAGTGAGAACGTTTAAAAAATAATTTTTCATTAACTTCAGTACTTTCGCAGTGTTATATTAATTTAATTGTATCAATAAATGACAATTAAACATTGTTTGCAATCAGACGCTTCTGAATAGTTATATTGTAATAATATAACGTTATTTCACTAACAAATGAAAGTTTAATTTATAGTTTTCCTGTATACTTTATTTTGTCATTGATTTGCCCTTTCCAGAGGATTATGCAGATCTGAATAGCAAGCAAATTAGACTGTTAGTTAGGGAAAGAGTTCGTAATATGTGAATTGGATCAGATTTACACTGGGCCCCGCATGTTCTCTTGTCAGCAAAACGCCACTGCTTAAGTAGACATTAACATATCGAAATATTAACTTTGTTGGTGAGTTTAGATTCGAGCTGACCTTTAATTGCCGACCCGTAGATTGTACCCTTGCTTCGAAATTACATGGATTTGTAAATGTACTGTTAAGTGCCAAATTATTTCACTGAAAAGTCCAGGTGATTGGTAATTTGTTTTGCAATACGTTAATTTGTTCCTCATAAGTGGTTAAGTAGAGAAAACGTAAGCTACCTATTTGTGTTTTATTTAAACTATCATTGATAACTCACATCACAGTATTTAAGTAACGTTTGAGGGAGAGATTTACACTTTCCAATAGTTAACACGTAGAAATAGACACATGTAAATATTACAATGTAATAAATAGGGAAATGCATGTGTCTTTTTCTAGTAACCATATTGATATCACCTTTCGTGATCAACACTTCAAAAAAGATACTAGATTTTTATCTAAAAGAAAAATATGGAACTCATCAAAAAATAAGTGAAGACGAACTTGTAAGTTTGTGTTTAAATCTGTAATTTTAATGAAACATATTATTCTTTAATCTTCATATTTCGTTTATTTACAGAGTATATACGAAAATGTGCCTTAAAATTTGCTCATAATAATTTTTCCTCTTTGATGTTATAATTTTTGCATTTTGTGTACCGTAAAGAAATGTTTGCGCTGTCATCGCTCGTTTATAGATTATGATGACTAAGTATTTCATTGATAGTTTTAAATGTGGCTCTAGTATTTTTAATCCTATCCGCACAAGTTTCGAAAATTTATTTATTAAATTAACTAGTAAGGTACACGTAGTTTTGTTGTTTTTGAAACACGGAAGCTAATTAATTTTTTAGCATTATATTTACAACTTTTATTTCAGCTACACATGGTTGTAATTCGTACGCATTTACATATTGTTAATAACGTTTTATGTTCTTTCGAGTTGAATAAGATCCATCACATCGCAGTTCTTTTTTCTACGTCCGGATGCATATTTTGTTATTGTCTAAAAAGTATCCAAGATACGAAAATGATCCAAATGTATTCCGTAATGTGCACCAGGACTTAAAAGTTAAAACTCGTCAAACTTTTCGTCAAAGAGGTTTATAACTTGTATTCTTGCTGCAATGACCTGAATCAAGATAAGAACTGGACTCCTCATGTTATTCTAGTGACATAGCAGGAAAGCAAAGATCACATCATCGCTTGGCTGATGCAAACGCTTGTTCTGCAAAATCAAAGCATATCGAACAGTACCGGAGTTGACAAGTTCGTCAAGGTTGATTCCTCACTTCTAAGCCAACAAAGAATTACAGTTTAAGGCATAGAGGTATCTAAGCAAGCGCCTGAAAGTACTTGCGATCATGCACGTGATGAGCCATACTATTTGCTTCAAATAATAAAGTTACCTCGTCCCATTATTTAGAAAAACTTAATGTTGTTAATAGGTTTAAATTATGTTAATGGTGTAATTTGCATTGTTACATTCAAGACTACAGAAATGACATCTGTAGATGAAAATATTAAAGAAATAAGTTTACTTTTTTTTAATTGCCCGTTTCATGTGAGCATGTAGAGGAGATATATTTTTATTGAGTTTATAAATCTGAGCTCTGCTAATAAATCAGGAAAAGGAAATCGACTCCTCGAAAAAGAGTTTTAAAGCAGCTTCTCTTCTAAGTAGCGACATATGCATTCCAAACATCTATTCCAATCCGAACAACAATGGGTATAGAGTTTGCATGTATTCATTGGGAGTATACACTCTTAAACCTTACGTAAAAGACCAAACAGCAAATTCTAGCTGAATTCTGATTCTTTCATAATAAATACTGCAGACGAAAGGTTTAAATAACCTTTTTATTTAAATCTAAATTAAACCAAATGCATGCACTTCGTGCGGAAAAATCACAAGTATTTGTGGCTACGTAGCAGAGCATAAGGACGTAACAATTCAATATTAAATTAAGATAATCTAATGACTGAGTCCTTAGCTTAACTAACCCTAAGTCGGCTGCACACAGCAGAGCCGAGCCGAGCAATATCAGTATAAACTGAAAGGTGTCAAATACCGAACTAGACAGCTAATTTTAAACTCGCAGCATAAATATCGGAACTAAGTCATCTACTAGTCTTTGAACTCTTGAAACACAGTTTAAATTCTGCTTCTGAAACACGTTTAAAATTTACATCTACATCATACAAAATTTACATTCCGGCAGGAAATGCAAATCAGGAGGAATAAAAAAGTCAAAATAACGGGTTAGAATAAAGCAAAACCTTTCATGGCTTTCATGAAACTGTGATCATTTTGTTTGAATATATTGAATAATATCATTGATTGTATTGCATCATTGAAGATCTTAAAGGAATAGTTTTGTTATTTTGTATATAATAAAGGTATAATGTGTTTTGTAGTTTTCTGAGCTTAATCATGTGACAAATAAATCATTAAAGTTTCTCAAAGTCACTCGAACTACAAACGTTTATACAGGATATCCAGAAGTCTGACAAGTCATTTCTAAACATTAAAGCTATGAACTTCCATCTCCTGGACATTCCGATGCGGTATTCCAACCTGTAGAGCGTATTCAAGTTGATGGAAGTATTTTGTGAAAAGTTATGGTTGCAGATATCAGCTTTTTTTGTATATTTTGTTATTGTTTTATATGTTTATATGTTATTGTTTATTTCAAATGATTATTTTATTTATTTACAAAAGCAGATAATTTTTTAAAGAAGTAAAGCATCTGCATATGACTAGTTATCAAAAATAGTGTATTTAATGTAAAAGTGGGAATTTTTATTAAAATACGGAGTAAAACCAAGATTTTTAAATTTCAGGAAGTGATGAACCTCATTGAATATGAGAATGAACTTTTTTAAAGCAGTATGGATTTCTTTAAGAATTTTAAGTGCTACAGAAATCCTTTTAAAAATTTCAAATGTCACTCAAACTAAATGCTTTATTATCATGTAGACTTTTTCCTTCATGATCTTGGAAAGATATGTGACTAAAATCGCAGCGCTTTTCAGCTGTGATAAAACAGTTTGGTAGGGAGATGAATCGTAATATGACAGATATATAAATAGGTGGTGCTGAGTAATACTAAAGAAATTTATAAAAATGGAGTGGTAAAAAACAGCTTCCTGCAGCGAAATCAAATCCATCTGCTTTTATTTTGAAAAATGTGTAATATAGGGGTCAAAGGAAAGTGGCATTGCTATAATAACTCCGCCATTTGAAGAGAAAGATGACTGAGCATGCTGCTACAGAGGGCGCAGAGTGCTGAGATTATCGTCAGATCCCGCCAGATGTGTGTGTGATAGCGTCGGGAAACGTTAAAAGGCATCATTCGCACCACGGATACCTCCAAACGTTGTCAACGCGCGGTCGTACAATTTTTAACAGCGGACAATATGAATGCTTCTGAAATCTATCGTCGAATTCAATATCTGTATGGCATAGCGTGTATGAAACGCAGATCAGTATTCCCCGATGGTGTAGGGATTTTCGTAGTGGGAGCAACAGCACCATGCGCATATGGTGATCACCCATAAAGCAGTTGCAGATCTAGATCATATCGTGAAAAATAAGTCGGAGAATCACAACTCAAGAAATAGCGAAAGAAATGTCTATGAGAATAGGAAGTGTGCATATAATACTGTGTGAAAAGCTTCGAAACCGCAAGTTTCGTGTGCAATGGGTGCCAAACCATTTGACAGAGGAGAAGAAGATTCACCGCATGTCTGTTGTTTCCTTGCAACACCTTATGCGGTACCACGAAATATGGAACCAATTCCTTTCAAGAATCATTGCTGCTGATGAAACATGGTGCTATGACTTTGATCCAGCCATCAAAATCATGAGCATGGAATGGCGACACTCTTCGTTCGCACGCGCGAAGAAGGCTCGCACATCTACTACATCTGGTAAAGTCATGTTAACTTGCTTCTTTGATGTCGATGGCCCACTGCTGTTGGAGTGGTTACCTACGGACACGATTTAACTGCTGACACGCACGGTGCCACCCTAAAGAAACTGAGACAGAATATCAAGAACCGCCGACGTGGCATGCTGTCATGCGGGGTTATTCACTTGCATGATAATGCTTGTCCTCATGTGGATGTACATTGTCAAATATTGTTATAGAGTGCCAAACATTGTTATGGCAATTCCTCTAAAACATTTCTCAAATCGACTGAAGTGCCACTTTCATTTGAACGACTCATATGGGACCCAAAAGTTCGTTAACATTTGAAAATTCAATAATTCATGGAATAGTGTAGGTACAGATTTAAAAATTGACTCACATGATTAAAATGGCACGGAGTTTCATTGAAACAAAACAAATCGAAAAAAACCGCCAACATATGACGCTCAGCAGCAAAATGTGAGTGACGTCATATACGAATCGTGTATAAAAAAAGCTATAGTGAGAGAGAGAATCGGTCCATTCATGACTTAGTCATGTGGGACGGAAATTTATCATATCAATCGTGATCGGAACCTTATTCTTTTAGGAAATGCGTTGTTCTGCTATTCAAACTGTCAGTCTGACGGGTGCGAGGTACGATGATATATTAAAAAATCGCATCATCCCTAGTATGGCTGACTATACATTCTATTATTTTTTACGTATGTTTAAAAATAGATTTAAGTAAGTTTTTTACAACAGTCCGTTTTTCCAGTCCCGGCAAACGTCTGGGTGTGTGGGCGTTTTCATGGTGTTCCCAATGAGTAACGTGAATACGTGTCTGTTCCCTTTAGACACTCCTTCACGAAGTCATTCCTGCCCTTAGGCAGATAGTCCTTGTGAGTTTGTCGTAGCCAAATAGCCAACCTAATCTGCTACAGATGAAGAGAAACCTTTACCTGTTTTCCCTCGAAATCGATAGAGTCTTGGACTAAATCTACTCCAAACACAAGGTTATAGTTTCGCCTAATTATATAATTTACTTTGGCGTGTTCTCCTCTGTTCTTAGATTCTCCTTATTTTAAGGATATCACAACAATGCGATTATATTTCTCAAAAACTGTAATAAAATTTCTAAATGGTCAAGCTGAAATATTCTGTATTAAACTGATTAAAAATTCTATAGAAAAAATTAATCGCAAAGCATTTTTGTGCATAGCTATTGAATTCAGAACGCAAACAGGAAGAATGATGGACTGAAGGACATTTGTTAAATAAAGCATTTAGAGTCCTACCGGTGTAATGATTTACATGCGCCTAATATCCCCCTTAACAATAAATATTCAAACCAGAGCGATTTTTTGCTCCTTTCTAAACAGTCGTAAAATTCGTATTTGAAAAGTTGCGTGTAATATTACAGATTTTAAATTATTTTCAGAACAATCACCTAATTCTGGCGCACAGACGAGTTTCCTTCAATAGGCTTTTATTGTTCACCATGAGTATGAGCCAATTTCTGTTGTAAAGAAAGCTGTCTGACTTCATGACGACAATTTCTGGGACATTTGACGGACTTCTCCACTCGGGGCCAATCAGCATGAAAACAAAACTTCAAATGCAAAGCACTTCAAAAATGGATTTTTGTGTAATAATTACAGGTAATCAACTGCTATGCTGTATTGCAAAATCGCATCATTACTAGTCTGCCTGACTATACATAATTGTTATGTTACTTGCCCTTGTTATGTTATGTTGCTTACTTGTTATGTTACTTGCCCTATCGAAAATATATATAATTTTTCTAATTAAAATGCTAAAAAAGTAAGTGTTTATAGTTGTAGTTATATTTATATAAAATTAGCTAAATTCTTTTCATATTTTGAAGGATTTCATACTTTCATATTTCGAGTATTTTGAAGAGTTTTTGATGTTATTCTTAAGGATTTATATTTTTCTCATCGGTAAATGTATTCAAAATTAACAAGAACAAAATTCATTACATTATCGATACTTACATACACCGCATTCAGAATAATGTCATACTGTTCTTTCGAAACCTTTCGAAACTTCATATTTTATCAAAGCATAGCATTGCTGAAGCAAAGTGCATTATTAAATTTACACATAATTACGTTTTTCGAATATAGTTGATTTTAGATAAATGTTTTATGTTCTTCGAAAGATTAATAAAAAATATTTAAAAAGAAAAAAGAGATCTTGAGAAACAAAATATGACAGTTCATTGCTTTCAATATTGCCCTCTAGGAAATTAAATGTACAAAGCATTTTAAAGCATATGCTTAAATCACATTCTACTAATTGTTGAATTAAATATAAAATGAACACTTCCTCTTTCAGTTTGTACGTATCTCGGGAATAAATTAAATGTCTTTGACCTATCTTTGAATTAATTACAAATGACAGAATGTTGAAATCGAAAAATTAATGGATTTGAATGTAAACGTTGTTTCGAATAAATTATATTAGACATTTCACAAATACCACACTGCGCGCAGGAAAAGAGTTTAGCAATTTACCAATAAATCATTATAATCGCATTTTAATAACTGTTTGAAGATTCGTTTATCGACTTATCACACCATTCTCCAAAGATTTCTAAGCAAAATCTCCAATTTTATACTCAGAGCTCTCAGGCGAAGATAATCGGAACAAGCAGCCTACTGCAGTTAAGAGTAATTACAGTTCGCTGCATGCAGGCTGAATCATTTATTGCGTTTATGAATATCGAAACTAAATACTAGCGATGTAAGGGCCAATAATCATTAAAGATTAAATGACAAAATGCGTTCACTGAACATGTTTAGCCTTGCTTTAAAAATGGATGCTTATTTTCGTTGATTGAGTTCCTGAATAATTCGTGCTAGAGGTTTTGCTTCAGTCCTACATAAAGTAGAAATATGAGAAAAGAAGTGTAGTTAACGATATGTTATGTGGCGTAATATTAATCAGGTCGAGAATTTGAATTAACTAACTAACACGAATAATTTATTTTTACTTTTCATAGTTTTTCGAATATATGATTAAACATTTTAGATACGAGTATGCATTATTTCCTACTAGATTAACTGGTAGAGAAATACCTGATCAAGAAATATTAAACATCATTGGCTCTTAAACTTAACACACTCGTCATTTCAGCTGAAGCACAGCGTGTTTACAGAACATATGCATTTAAATAAAAGAACGCGAAACTGTTTTAAAAAATTGCCCATCTTCAAATTATTGGATTAAAGATCATATCTAGGTTACACGAAGGTTAATGGGCAAGTAACATAATTTTGTTTTTAATTAACGGTACATTTAGTAAACATAAATCGTGATATTTTACAAGTGATAAAAATATGCTTAAAAAGAAATGTTACGCTTGGTATATAATATATATAACTGAATAAAAACGTTATAAAGAAAAACGTTCGACTCGTGCATTTTGTCAACAAACACTTATATCGAAAATATATATTTCAGTACATTTCGATTACATGTTAAGCATTCCTCCACACATGTACAGTATGTGCCCGTTAAAAGACTTGTTTGCTAAATGTAGTATAATTTGACGTATTTCCTAAACGCCCTGTCGGCTAGCAGCTGTCGAATAGTCGGCTGTGTATCTTGAACCTGTTATTTCGCATGTTATGAAATATATGTATGTCTAACAAAAAAATTAAAATTTTGCCGAAGAGAGAGGCGATGGCGGAATGTTTGTGCTAATGAAGATGTCTGAATACATTTAACGAAAGTTCAAACAAACACTTTGTTTCAGCTGAAAAATAAATTGCTAATGTTTGGAAACAAGTTTTTGAGCCTGCTATGCGCAGGGGACAAATTTTCCATTTTACAAATTACGTTAGCTATTTTTGTATTTCATGGTATATATATATATATATATATTTCTCAATATATATTAATATATATTTCATTCGTTACTGAGTTACTTAGATTAAGTGCATCATAAATATTTTTCCCGAATCATTAAATATTGGGAAAAAGTCTGCAGTGCATGTTAACTGAATCAATTCATATATATAAAGCTGATAACGCTTTTCAACTATTGAAATTTGAAATTTCAAAATAAATTAGGTCAAAGGATTAAAAAAAAAGGAAAACGTTCTACGCAGATTTCAGTTCAATATCTAAAAGAGTTTAATGTACAATATATCTAGTTTCAGGAATTAATAATTCAGAAATTAAAGGTACCGAACATGAAATCTTTCAATTAAAAACGACTGAAATAGTGAAACAAAAAAGTAGAAAAACCATTTGTTCTCACCTTTTTTTATCTTTAATTAATACCATATGGAGGTTTATGTCATTATTTAATTAAAAGAAAACTTATTATTTCAAGATATAACTTTGCATGATTTTTCTGTATATGTTTGCATCTATTTATAAGCTTACAAGAATGAATATTTACGTTTAAGAGGGATTGCTTCATATAAATTAATTAAATGACCATATAAATTATCTTAATATAAATTCATTTAAGAAACAGTTCACACTTCCACGTTGAATTATGACTTGCACTATTATAACTTTGAGTTTACAGAAACAAAATGAGGCCCTTTGACAACTGAATACAAAAAAAATCAGGAATTAATTACAATATAATTACTGCAAATGATATAAATGTTTAACCAAGTTTTAAGCTAAACATTTGATAGTATCAAAATTATTTAAAAATACAAGTGAATTCTTATTAATGTTATGTTATAACCATCCTTGCATTCAAATTTATGTAAACTTATATGCAACGTAAACTTGAATATGTTTCATCTCATAAAGAAAAACATAATGTGCGTTTCGAAGGAAGAATAGCGGTTTCTTATTCCTCAAGGACAACATTATGTGTTTATAAGAAAGTACTGATACAAGTGGATCGTAAATTAGGAATTTCACCAATGATTATACAGGTATATTCCTAGAGCCATTTTATACGAAGGAATGAAAGGAGGATGCCTTTTTCCTCTACTGTCCCAGCAGTGGTTTTGAGCTCATAACAGCCTAACGAGGTCTGGCACTTTTCTTTACATTTAGCGCCTGTGACTTTGAACCTATTTGAAACTTAAATGTCGGGT